CAGCTCGTGCTGCTGGGTACAATGTGGCTAACTTTCATCAAGTTGGGGGCCCCCGGGGGCCCCCTGTACCCTTGGCTAGCTGCTGCAGCACTTCTTGTCTATGGCTTTCTCATGCACATATGGGCCCGCGAGGGCCGTGCTGCTCTTTCCTTTGCAGAAGCATCTTCGTTAGCTCAGCTAGCCACAGCAGCCGCAGCAGCAGCAGGAGTGTCTCTGGCCCACAAGCACGGCTACCTGCCTTTCCCGGGGGCCCCCCCTGCCTCTCAGGGGGCCCTGGGGGCCCCCCCCGCCTCCGAGGTCCCCCTGGGGGCCCCCCTGGGGGCCCCCCTGGCTGCTGGGGGCCCCCCGGGGGCCCCTTCGGGGGCCCCTCAGGGGGCCCCCCAGGGGGCCCCCATGGGGGAGTGGGGAGGCGAAGTGGACGGGGGGGCCCTGCAGCTGCTGGGGGGCCTTTTAGTACCCTTATTGGTGCTCAGTTTTTTTGCTGCTGGGGCCCTGCGGCTGCGGAGGGGGCCCCCCCGTGTTGCTTATCTGCAGCTAGTTGTGGGGGGGTTTTTGTTTACCATAGGGTGCTTTTTGCTGCTGGGGGGCCCCCCAGCAGCAGCGGGCCAAGAGGAGCAGCAGTGGAGGCCCCTCCTGTGGCTGTGGGACTTTCTGCAGCAGCAGCAGCACCTCCAGCTGCTGCTGCTGCTGCTCCTCACCTCTGCAGCAGGCCTCCTCCTCGCCTTCGGCCTCGCCCGCATCACCAGCACCACCAACAGCAGCAGCAGCAGCAGCAGCGGCAGCAGCAGCAGCAGCAGCAGCAGCAGCAGCAGCGAGGAGGCTGCTGCTGCAGCGGGGCGGCTCTGCAGGCTGCGGAAAGTGTTCCATTTGCTGCTGGTGGGGAATGTGGCAATTGTGTCTTTGTGGGGATCTTTTTCTTTTTTAATTTTGTGTCTTGGAGTTCTTTTGTGGCTGCTGGCAGCAGCAGAAGTGCTGCGGCTCTCCGGTGTCTTCCCCCTCTTTTCCCGTGCTGCTGCTGCAGCATATGGGCCCTTTGTGGGGCCCCGAGACACCACTGGTCTGGTCCTCACGCCGCTGCTGCTGGTCCTCGGCGTTGCTGCTCCTTTGCTGCTGCCTGCTGCAGCAGCAGGGGCCCCCGGGGGCCCCCCGGCGCTCCTCGGCCTCGTCTTCGCCGGCTGCGGCGACGCTGCTGCTGCTGCTCTCGGCAGCTGCTGCAGCAGGGGGGCCCCCAGCAGCAGCAGCAAAACCAGCGCGGCCCCTCAAGCCAGCCCCGGCAGCCCTGCTGCTGCCTCCAAGGGCCCCCACGGGGCCCCTGACAGCAGCACCAGCAGCAGCACCAGCACCAGCAGCAGCGGAGGCCCCCAGGGGGCCCCCGAAAGCAACAGCACCAGCAGCAGCGGAGGCCCCGAGGGGGCCCCCAAAAGCAGCAGCAGTAGCGGAGGCCCCGAGGGGGCCCCCGAAAGCAACAGCAGCAGCAGCAGCAGCAGCAGCAGCAGGGGCCCCCTGGCAGCTGTTCGGGGGCTGCTGGCCCCTGAAAAGAGCTTCGCTGGTTTTGCAGGTTTTGTCTTTTGCAGTTTTGTTTGTGGAGGACTTCTTTTCAATTTGCTGCAAATGGTGCTCCTACACTTTTGTAAAGAATACTATTTAAATATATATAATATAACATATATATAATATACATGTATTATATATATGTATTACATGTATATAGTATATATATAGTATATATATATTCATATATATCTATCTACATATATATATATATATTATCTATATATAAGAATATTGTATGTAATATGCTTATAATATAAAAATCTATATATATGTATAATATATATTTATATTTATGTATGTTTATTTCTATAGATCTTATAAGAATACTTTTGGGACTTGAAGCTTTTGCTGCATTTAATGGCTGTTTGGGATTTGTTTACTTGTATATTTGTATATATATATATATGTATTCATATATATGTTTGTATAGTTTAAAAAATTATGTAAATATGTCTATATATATACATATATGTGTATATATGTACATATTTACACAGATGTATATGTATTTACGAGAATCTATTTAAACATATACATATATATATGTCTTTGAAATAATAATATACATATATATATATAGATATCTATATATATACCATGTATAATATATATGTATTATACGTATTATATATGTATAGTTTATATATATTATGTATATATATTATCTTTGTGTATATATCCTAATATACATCTATATATTTTAACATGCATATATTATATGTAATATATATCAATGTATATGCATATATATATTTATATATTATATAAATCATTACTCCTTAGTGCGAAGAATAAAATTAATTTCATCACTTGAAAAGACCTCGCCTTTTTTGATCATTGTCTCAGAATTTATTTTTAATTATATTTTCATCTTTTAATCTTTTTTTTCTTCTAATCTTTTTATCTTTTCCATTTTTTATTTTTCAGTCTTTTTTCCTTTTGCTGCTTTCTGCTGTTTGGTCTTTGTCTCAGAATTTGTTTTAATTACATTTTCATCTCTTTATTTTTTTATCTTTTAATCTTTAAATCTTTTTATTTTTTAATTTTTTTTCTGTTTGCTGCTGCTTGCTTTGCAGACCTCCAGTGTGAATGCTGCTGCCTTCGCCGTTGCTGTCTTCGCCGCCGGGCTTTTCGAGGTGAGCCGCAAGCAGCAGCAGCAGCAGCAGCGGCAGCAGCAGCAGCGGCAGCAAAACGGCTTAGCTGTAGCAGCTGCAGCAGCTGCGGCAGCAAAACGACTTAGCAGCAGCCGCTGCAGCAGCAGCAACATCTGCAGCAGCAGCAGCAACAGCTGCAGCAACAGCTGCAGCAACAGCTCAGTTGTGTGCTGCTTGTGCTGCTTCTCCTCTGCAGGCCAGCACGAGGGACATCGACAACTTCAACGTGGCCATGATTGGCTGCGTCTACTACCAGCTGGTGGCCGGCTTCATGGCCTAGTCCTGCAGCAGCAGCAGCTGCAGCAGCTGCTGCTGCAGCAGCCACTGCTGCACCGCACACAGCGCTACAGTAGCAGCTGCTGCAGCCGCAGCCGCTGAACTGCAGGAACAGCTGCTGGAGCAGCTGCTGGGCTGCTGCTGCAGCGGCTGGAGCAGCTGCTGAGCCGCTGCTCCAGCAGCTGCAGCAGCTGCTGAGCTGCTGCTGCAGCAGCAGCAGCAGCAGCTCCGCGCGCCGTCTACTGGAGAGCTCGCAAGGGATTCCGTGTCTTTTAAAATGTAGTCAGAGAGCCGCTTCGCCTTTGGCGTGCCTGTGCAGCCCCGCAGCGGCGGTTTATGTTTGAGGTGCTGCAGCAGCTGCTGCAGCAGCGGTTTGAAGTGCTGCAGCAGCTGCTGCAGCAGCTGTTTGCAGTGCTGCAGCAGCTGTATCCAGTGCTGCAGCAGCTGTATCCAGTGCTGCAGCAGCTGTATCCAGTGCTGCAGCAGCTGTTTCCAGTGCTGCAGCAGCTGTTTCCAGTGCTGCAGCAGCTGCTGCAGCAGCTTCTGCAGCAGCAGTTGCAGCAGCTTTTGGCTTCTTCAGTCCCAGCTGTAGCTTGGGAAGCTCCACTTGAATTTGAATTTGCGAAGCAGCAAACTGCGTCTTGGGCTCCACTTAAAGCCCTTTGGTTTCTTTCATTTTGAATCGGCAGCTGCAGCTTCTCAAAGCAGAGGCGGGCGGCTTGAACGGCAGACTAACTTTTGAATTTAAAAAGAAGTGATATATACAAGTGTATATATTAATATAAATATTTATATATTTATATAATTATATTGATAAATATAAATGTAAGTGCTTTCGCCTTTCGTCGAAGACCAGAAGCAGCAGAGGCAGCAGCCGCTGCAGCACGAAGTGCAAAAGTGCAGCTTTTTTTGCTTCCGGGGAAGCCAGCAGCAGCAGCTAATCCAGCAAAGGCTCTTCTCCACGAAGAGCCGAAGGAGTTTCCAAAATGAGAGGCAGCCGGTCACGCTTTTGCTGCACTTGGTAGCCGGAAATTCCCAAGACGAGCAGCAGAATCTGAATTTCAAGTTGCTGCAGCTGCAAGCGCCTCGCTGGCCAAGCTTCGCTCACCAGCATTGTGAAGTTCTCTATCGCGAAGTAGTCGAATTTAACTGAAGAGCATTTCGACAAAACATTTCTTTTCTTTCCGCGGCCCGCAGCAGCAGCAGCAAGCAGCAGCAGCAGCAACCGGCAGCGACAGCTCACCTGGGAGGTCGAAGAAGCCCACAGGCTGCAGATTCGGCAGATTTGGCAGATTCGAAGATAAAATATATTTTCATAAATTAAAAGCAGCAGTACCTCGAAAGGAGTGTCTACGACGAAGTCCTTTAACGCGAAACCGTACATAATTTGCACAACGCCGAGCCACGCGCAGACGCAAGAAGAAACGAAGTTTCTGTCCACAGCAGGAGGCAACGCCTTGTCCTGGATTAGTTTTAAATAAATAAAAAGAAATAAGAAGAAATTAATTGAAAGTTTCCGCCGCTGAAATGACGCAAACCTCGCGGTGTGCAACTTGCACGCTGAACAAGCAGGCGGCGCCCAGGGCCGCGGCGATCCAGTCTAATTCGACGAATTCGCCAATAAAATGCGCAAATAAATTTTGAAAAAGTTTATTTTTAAATTAAAAATTCACAAATTAACTTCTGAACTGCCGCGCTAAGGCCAGTAAAGCCGGGGATCAGGCCGAGCACGCCGTAGCGCGAGCCGAAGATGAACGCCTGCGGGAGCTGATTGCCGAAATTTAAACTCCGTTTGCGCATTTATTACCGTCAGATTGTCTGAAATTTGGAATTTAAATTTTAAAAAAAGAGAAAATAATTCAGAATTGACCCCTCACAAGCGAGGATCAGCGAGAGGAAATAGGCAAAGAACACAATGACGCTCCTGCAGGCCCCTCTGTCTTTGTTTCTTGCTGCGCTTTCGCGGCAAACGAACTGACCAGGCTGAGCAGATCATGCATGAGAAAGAAAAGCAGCAGCAGCAGCAGCTGCAGCAGCAGCTGCAGCAGCACGGCGACGCACCGAAAGATGGCTGCAGCACCAGCGCCCCGACTGAAGCAAAGTTGAACAGAAGAGCGGCTTGCTGCTGCCTCCAATTCCACTCACTAAAAGCTGCCAGAAAAAAGCCCCCCGAGAGGGAAAGTCCAGTGGCCGGCCTTGAAGCAGCAAAATAAGAAATGGGAGCTGGAGTTGCTGCTGCTGTTGCTGCTGCAGCACGTACCCGGCGCCCGCGTTGATGAACGCAGCCAGAGAAAAGTAAAAGACCAACAAGCTCGAAGTCATTATAGCGAAGCTCCGCTCCCACTGGATTTGTAGGGCCTTTGTGCTGCCGCGTGGGCTGTTTACTGCTGGCTTACCGCGGGGCTGTTTGCAACAAACTGAATGAACATGAATTGCTGCTGCTGCTGCTGCTGCTGCGCGAAACTTACGGGAAAATAAAGATAGCCGCCGCCAAAAGCCACGCAAAAGGCAAGAAGAGAGTAGAAATAGGCTTTGTTGGTGAACTGGGGGCCTGTGTTGGTGCTGGGGGCCTCCTCAGCTTCCGCAGTTTCCGCAGATTCTTCTGCTGCTGCTGCTGCTGTTGCTGCTGCTGGCGGAGCCGGAGTTGAGAACATTTCCGCGTACGGCTCAATGGGCAGCCGCTGCTCCAGCTTGAGCAGCTCTTGGTAGAAAGCCGGAGTCAGCGGAAAGCCCTGGCTCCGCGCCGCCTCCACGCGCGCCCGCAGGCCGCTGGGACAGCTGCGTAGGCCCGAAACACAGAGGAATAACGAGAGAGCATGGAGGAGAAGAAAGAAACATAACTGCATTTTAGCCACGGGACCCGCAGAGCTTCAGAAAACAAAACAGGAAAGTGTCTGGGCTCTGCCGCAGCCCGGGCGTCGGGAGCTGCGGTGTAACTGCAGCGGCGCACCGCGTAAAAGGAAATTCAAAAGCCTCATTATTTATATTTTTGTTTATTCAAGACGAAGGGGCTTTTGGCTCCGTTTTCGCCCGCGCGAGCCACGGCCCGGAAGTTCAACTTGCAAATTTCGGCGATTTCGCCGCGGAAAAAGCTGCTCGGGCCGAGAAAGCTACGAGAAAGCTCAAATTTCAAGAAGAATTCTGAATAAAGAGTTGAAAAGGGACATTTTGGCGGCCGACATTTCCGTGTCTGCTGCTGCCGCTGGACGCGCGGCGGCCGCACCAGTGGGCTCCTGCTGCAGCGAGCGGCTACTGCTGCGCGATCCGCACCCAAGGGCAGCTCCAACTGAGCTAAAAATCCTACTGGGGAGCCTCCAGCTCATTGCGGGAGAAGTGAAAGGGCCCCGGAAAGCTGGGGGGCCCTCGAAAGCCGCGCAGCGCATGCCCCCGCCCCACAATGGATCTGCAGCCTGCAGGCGCCACAGGACTCCTAGCTCTTTCTTACAGCGCCCCAAGGCCCCCCCGGGGCGGACTCTGCAGTATTTAGGCAGCAAGCCACTTGTGCTTGGGCCAGCCCACTCTGCTGCTGCTGCTGCTGCTGCACTTCTTGCTGCTGCAGCACGGCCAGGCTTTCCCTTTTCCTTTCCTTTCTTTCTCCCCTGCCTTTTTTCAACGGGGCCTAACCCTTCCCACTCGAAGCCTCTGCTGTGAGCTCCTCTCCCGCTGCTGCTGCTGCTGCTGCTGCTGTGCAGTTCAGCTGCGGGGGCCCCCGGGGCTCCTCTGCCTGACCTTTGCGTCCGCTGCAGCTCCTGTCTGCTGGGGCGCTGCTGAGGGCCCCCAAGACAGCCAAGGCGCTGCGGGGGCCCCCCTCTTAGCCCCTATTTGGGGGCCCCTCGGGAGCTTCCCACATGGCTGCTGCTGCTGCTGGGGGGCCCCCGGAGTCGCGCAGTGCTGCACAAACTTTGGTGCTGCAATGACAGCTTTTGCTGCTGCTTCCTCTCATACTTCAGCGGCGGCAGTCTGAGCTGGGCCCCAGCGGCCCCGCACGCTGTGCTGCAGGCTGCAGCAGCAGCAGCAGCAGCAGCATCAGCAACAGCAGCAGCAGCGGCTGCAGATGCATGGGGAACTGACAGCAGCGCCTGATCCTGGGGGCCCTGCTGAACTCCCACAGGCGCAACAGCAGCAGCAGCAGCAGCAGCAGGAGGGGGGTGCCCCCCGAGAATGCAGATGGTCTCCCCAAATGGGGGTTCCGCCTCAACCCCTTCTCCCCAGGGTTTGGGGGGCCCCCCGGGGGCCCCCGAGGCCCGGGGAGCCCCCATGTTGGGGCTGCTGGGGTGGCAAGTTCGCCTTTATGGGCAGCTGCAGCAGCTGCTGCAGGGGCCCCTGGCCTCTTCTCTGGGCCAGGGACTGCAGCACAGGGGGCCCCCAAACCCGGGGCCCCTCCAACTTGCTGCTGCTTCTTTGCTGAGGCTTGCTGAGGTCCGCAGGAGGGCTTTGGCTCTTGCGGGGGCAGCGCCTGCTCAGCAGCAGCAGCAGCAGCAGCAAGGGCAGCAGCAGATTCCGCAGCAGCAGCTGCTGCAAAGTGCTGCTCAGCAAGGTCACCCGCAGGGGGCGGTGCAGCAACAACAACAGCAGCAGCAGCAGCTTCAACAGCTGCAGCAGCAACAGCAGCAGCAGCAGCAACAACAACAGTCCCCAGTATTCCCCCTCACAGCCCTACAAGCCCTGCGGCTGCAGGCTCTGCAGCAGCAGCAATTTGCAAGGCGCTTAGCAGCAGGGATTTCGGGGGCCTCGGGGGCCCCCGGGGGCCGCCATGGAGGGTCTTTGGAGGGCCATTTGCCTGCTGCTGCGCAGCGCAGCGCAGCAGCAGCAGCAGCAGCAGCAGCTTTGCTGCCTTCTGGCCTGCTGCTGCCGCCGCCTGCTCAAACCCTTGCCCAGGGGCCTCCCAGGGGGGCCCCCTCCGCAGCTCCCTTGGGGGCCTCCCTCCTGGGGGGCCCCCTAGTACCCTTTCGTGCTGCTGCAGCAGTTGGCTCTGTTGCTGCAGAGCCGCTGCAGCTGCTGAATCCCCTCAAGCGGCGCCGGCAGGTTGGCCAGGCTATGGGGGCCCCCTTACCCGGGGGGCCCCCCGGGGGCCCCCCCGTGGGGGGAGCCCCGCTCGGGGGGCCCCCAGGCGGGGGGGCCCCCCACGGG